TGAAAAGAAATGACCTACCAAGTCAGAAAACCACATGGAGAAACCTGAAATATGTATTGCTAAGTGAAAAAAGTCAGTCTGAAAAAGGTTTGTACTGTATCATTCCAGGTATATAACACTGGAAAAGGCAAATTCTAAAGACAGTGAAATGATCAATGGCTTACAGAAGTTTAGAGGGGGAGGAACGGAGGAATGAGTAGGTGGGGCATTCATTCGGGAGGGACTTTTAAAGCAATGAAACTATTTTGTATGATACTGTAAGGACTGCTGATATCAGCTCATCAGTTTTAACCTACATATCATACTAATGCAAGATGTTGATAATAAGGAAAGTAAGGGATCCTGTCAGGGAGTGTATGGGAACTCTTTGTACTCTGTACTCGATTTTTCTGAAAGCAAAAAGTGCTTTTTGAAAAGGAGCCTATTCATTTTTTCAAGGGCACCCCAGGTAATCTTATACACTTATGAGGCGTTATTGAAATTGACAGAGAATGTTTAAATTAAATATTGCAGTAAAAGACACATTGCCATGAATGTCCCTCAAAATCCTCCCTTGCACTTTGAACACAATTGTCCTTGCCACTTTCTGAAGCAGTTCTGGAGTCCAGTTTCCTAGGTGTCTTTGGGTGTGCTGTGCTGGTTGCTTCAGCATCCTGAATCATTCAAAACGTTTGTGGCTTTGGGGAAGAGCCAGAAGTTACATGGTGCCAGATCCAGTGAGTAAGGGGTATGAGGACACAACATAATATTTTATTGGACAGAAATTACCATTTTGAATTGATTCAGGACATCAAGGCAGCCACAGAAAGACATGAAAGAGGACTACCAGAAGTGCTTCGGAAAGTGGCAAGAATGACGGGATAAGCGTGTTCAAAGTGAGGGGGGAAGATTTGGGGGGTGGGATTAATGACATGTGTCTTTCAGTGCAATTTTAAAATTTGAACATTCACCGAATATTTTGACCACTCTTGGTAGTCCAGCACTAAGTGTTTAGAAATGACTGTTTTAGACAATACCTACATATTGGTCAAACTACACCCTTAAGTAGATCCCATTAAAATAATCATTGAGTATGGAGGCTTTGTACTGAGGGAGACTTTGGACAGAAATATGCTTCTCTCTCTGCCTCTGCATCTGTGGGAGCCGTGCCTAATGGGATCTTGGAGAGGGAATCCCAGCATTGAGTGAGATGGGGGTTGAAACTCTGAGGTCACTCTACTACCTGAGTGTGTCTTCTGGCCCTGGGAGTCTGTGAGACTCTGCCCCCCACCCTGTATCTCTGATCCAAATCCATCCTCTGTCCCTGCTGCGCATCAGTGAGGAGGGTGCTGGCGCAACTCGTGTGCCTGCCTCCCGCACAGCGCAGCCTGCTTTCCCAGTGCTGGGCTCCGAAGCACACACCTTCTTTTGTGCTTGCTTCTTGCATGTATTTAACCATTTTTAAATTTTTTTCTGAATTCTGATGCTTTGCTATCTGGAGCCTTCCTGACCCGGAAGCAACTGTCCCTCCCAGGGCTGGCCAGCTCCCAGAGATGGTGAATAACTTACCTTTCAGCATACTTTACAAACGCAAAATAATCACTACCTCCTTCATTGGGCTCTCATGCTCTGAGCCACTAATCCTCTACCATTGTCATCCGGGACCAAATGCCAGACATCCAAGTGTTATTGGGTAGTTACTTTATTTTTTTTTATTTTTAAATATATATATTTATTGGTACATTTTAGGTATAAAATACATTTACATTTATCATTGGGTGTTTGTACCAGAACATGATGCATCTTAGTTCTTATTTTTTCTCCCACTACCTGTGCACCCTTCACCCCCTCCACCCTTCCCTATCTACACAGAGTTTGATTCCATTTTTTCTCTCATAATTTTTTTTTTCCTTCTTTCCCTTCTTCCCTTTCTGGGTAGTTACTTTAGAAATGGCTCGGCAATCAAAAAGTATTCCAGGTTCTTCTTGCCTAGAAGAAGAAATTGGACTAGACAAGCCAAAAACAGTGCCAGAAATTCATTTGAGAAGTGGGGGGTGAATGGGTATGAGACAAACTGGCTCTGCAAGTGAATCTGGGCAGAACAAGAGAAAAAGAAAATAAAAGCAAAAATAGAAGTACATGCTGTGTCTGAGAAATGTAGTGCGGGATATCATGGGAACTCACCATAGCGGCTCCCCATGGTGTCCAGGCCTCTGTTATGCCATCCACATCTAGTGGGAGCTTGGGAGAAGTTCTATATACAGGGTCCTGGGACTGTCCTGGGATCTTGTAATTGGCAGGTCCCGCTCATTTCCCAGCCACCTTTGCCATACCCTACCTCCTATATGCCCACTACAGCCTCCATGCCCAAAGCCCCAGGAAATGACTCAAGTAGCAGATCGGATTGTAAACCTGCTTTCCCTGCCTCACCCACCTCTTCCCCTAGAAACCAAATAAGTGCTCTTGCCCACACACCTCCCCTGTTCCTCTGTGTGCCTGACCTCAGTGCTTCCCGTGTGGCTCCCCAGCAGTGTGGCTGGTCCCCTCATAGGATCTGGGAGTGCAACAAACTCTCCTTTCAGTATCAGTCATCTCATCTGCTGCTGGCCTTACCAGACCTGAACACTAGCAAAAGCCACTAAAACATCACAGGAGGAAGCTTAATTCTTTCTTCAACCCCCATCTCCAGCAGAAGCTGCTTTCTCCAGCTCTAGGTTTCTACAGGAGGTAGGGACCAGCAGTGCCTAGCCACCAGCATTGTCCCCTGCCATCTCTTGACAGCTTCCAATGGAGTGTCACCAGCAAGGCAGTTCTCTGTGAATATCCTTCTGTGGCACCCCCTTGGTCAGGGTCAACTTTACTAGGAGTTCTTCGTGGATGGCTCTTTTCAGCACCCAGAGGGCAGATTTCCAACCACCTTATCAGCTCAGGTACTTCATTGATTCTCCACCCTCAGGTGAGGGACAGAATTCCTGCCCTGGGGCTTGGGGGTGGGAGGAGACTTTTCCTAGAATACTCTTCTTGGCTAGAGAGCTAATGTCTGCTTCCTTCACACGCTGTTGCTGTCTTCTTTAGAGGTTTGTTTGCTTCTTACTAGTCAAACTTACTATTCTAATCCCATGCTAATAATTCTTCAGATTAAACTTTCCCTGCTCAAATGATTATGTAGTTTCTATTTTTCAAAATTTAAAATGACATATAATATTTGTAATTATGGGGTATAGTGTTATAACTCAATACACATATACAATGTGTAATGATCAAATCAGAGTAATGAGCACTTTTTTTTCAGGACTTGAAACTGAACTCAGGACCTATGCACTAAGCTACCTCCCCTCCCCTTTTTTATTTTTAATTTTGAGGCAAGGTCTTGCTGACTCACTGTGTTGCCCAGGCTAGGCATATAGGGAAACCTCTCCTCCTTGAAGTTGCAGGTGTTCAGTACTGTGCCTGAGCAAGGAGAAAGTGACTAAGACAGGGTGCCATACACTAGCAGGCTTACACGTGGATTTATTCTTCTTCACAGTTCTGAAGCTGGAAAGTCAAGGGGAAGTTTCCAGCAGGCTTTGGTCTCTGGTGAGCACTCTTCCTGGCTTGCAGATGGGTGCCTTCTTGCTGTGTCCTTACTTGGCTTTTTCAGGGGAGGTCCTGGGGATGGCGTGCCTACTGAGCCCATCCGCCACCCCTGGGCCATACCCCCAGCCCCTACATGGGTTTCTTGGTACACAAATGTTGAGAGCACAAGATGAAGCTGTCTGGTGTCCCTATTGATAATGCCATTATTCTACTCAGGTGAGGGCCCTGCCCTCAGGCCCTAATCACCTCCAAAAGTTCCTTCTCCGAGTACCATTACATTGGGAGTTTGGGCTTCAACATTCACACTTGAGGGACACACACACATCCAGTCCGTAAAAGTGGGCTAGACATTTGAGTGAATAATTTTGGGAAAACGGAAGCTTGCAGGAAGAAGTTTTCCAGCGAGTCTGAAGATTTCCTTTCTTGTCTCCCAGTCCTCCTCAGTGTTGTCCTTTCAGCCTAGGCTTACTCTCTTGGGTGTAAGACGGCTGCTGGGGCTCCAGGCATCACATCCTCAAGGTTCAGTTTGAAGTTATTAAGCCAGCAGAACGGGCTGAGACAGGGATGAGTGTGGGTTACTCCCTGTGCATCTACCTTTCTGTGTTCTTAGCCAGACCTAGGTCAGACGTGTCCTGCCCGTACCCAGAGCAATCACAGATGCAGGGGCTCAAGATCCTCACACCTACTCCCAAAGCCAGGGGTGAGCTGAGAGGGGACAAACCACTGGATCTTTGAATGCAAGCGAGATTAGCAGGATAATAAATCTAGCCAAAGGAGCAAGTGTCCTAAATTTAAAATTCCCTTATCAACAGATATTAGCTTAATTTTTCCTAGTGGTGATTTTTAATCAACAGAAGTTAAATGTTACTCTTAACAGGAACCAAGGGTGGAAGCTCTGAGGGCGGCACTGGAACACTTGGTGGCCCTCCAGATGGCAGGGAGGAGGCGTTGTGTATGTCTGTGTGGGTGGGTGGCCGATGTAAAGAGAAGAACTGGGTAAGAAGGAACTGCTAAAATGCATGGAATTGCTCTTGCTTCAAGATGTCAAGGCCAGGGACACCCAACGAGCCTGGTTTGTCTCCACCCGAAAACTTTTCTGCGAATCAAATAAGGGAGGAAATCGTTTTTAATTCCAAATGTCCCCAAGCTTTAAAAAAATCTTTAAAACCTTGTGTCTCCATAGTCAACCTGGTTTGACTATGTCAAGCACGTCATGCATAGTCCCTTGGAAGACTCTGAAGCCCAGGCCCTGCTACGTGCCCAGGTCGCTGGACCAGCGTGTCCCAGCTCCCAAATCTTGGGATGCTGGGGGCGGTGTCAGGTGGGGCCTGGGCGGGGCCTGGGGCAAATGAGGCTCCCGCCCCAGCACCGCCCTCCCTGCCCCAACCCCACTCTCCCCCCCATCCCCCGCGCGCGGCCTTGTGGGTAACTCGGGGCAGCCAGGTGACAGCTAATGGCGGCGGCCGCCTGAGGCAGCGACGGGCGGGCGGAGGCGCGTGGCGGAAGCTTCCGGCCGCCGCTCTCCTCCCGGCTGCGGCTCCCTGGCGGCGGCGCACCATGGACAGGCCGGTGGCGGCCGCGGCGGCGGCGGCGGCGGCCGGCGGCGAGGGCCCCGGGGGCCCGGGCCTGGGCCTGGGGTCGGCGAGCGGCAGGAGGCCTCCTCGTGCCGCGGGGAGCGCCGCCGCCGGCTCCCGGCAGCCCAACGTGGAGACCCTGGACAGGTAAGCGGGGCCGGACCGCCACGGCCTCCCACGACCCGGCTCGCGGGCCCCACGCGCCGCCACCCCCGGTCCCCTCCCCGCCCCCGACATCCGGTTCCCCAGCTGGCGCTGCTGCCCCGACCGACCTGCCCTGGGCTGTGCACCTGACTTCCGCCTCGCGTGCAGCTGTCAAACCGCTTCCTCGGTGCCTTCCCATGCTCTGAGGCAACCCCTCGGCCGGGCCTCCAGTGCCCCGAGGGGCAGCTTCACCCGGGCTCTTCTCGTTCAGCCTCCCCTTGCCTCGTGTGGCCCGAAGACCTGCATCCCGAGGAGGCTGCTTGAGGGTGTTTGGTGGTGAGGGAGGGGCGGGGACGGGGGACCAGACTCCATAGGGCTGGGAGCTGGTGCAGATGGAGGCACAGATGCCCTGATTCGAAAAATCAGGAAGAAAGACTTTGAAATTGTGCTGGAGGCAAGAGTACAGAATCATTTACTTTCAGTTCTTCACACTTTGAAGGGACCGCTTCATTGTTTCCTTAAACACCTGACCCTACTGCTTCTGAGACAGTTGCAGAACAAAAGAAATCAGAGGCAAAAAATGGCTGTGTCCAACGGGGAAGGTGCACCCCATGCTCTGAGGACAAGGGATGGCTTATCCTGTCCCCACATCCTGGCCACTTTCCCAACGTTGGAATGCACTCAGGCAACAGACACTGTTGTGATGGAGCTCAGGGAGTTTCAGATGTTCATTCCTGCCTGTCTTAGTCATACCAGTGTCCCCAAGTTTTTTGGGTTTCCAAAGGCATGGGAACAAGAAACACTCCCTCACTTTTCCAGCCCAGTGTAATTACAGTGTATATTTTAGTCCTTTAATCTCTCGATAGGCCAGTTTCACTGAAAAGGAATCACAGTTGATACAGCACTTGGCACAGTGGACTTCACTCATCTGTAGATACTCAGCAGTGTCTGAGGCCTTGGCAAGTCAGAATAGAACAAGATGGCTTTTGCTCTCTGCTACTATTTTGTGGTGGATACAAACAAGCCAACAACTGAAGTTGATTGTGTGAAGTGTTAGGCTAGAGGTGAACACAGTTTACTCGGGATGGTGTGTATGGCTGAATCATCTAAGGAGCTGAAAAAAACCTGAATAGATCACCCCAAGTAGTGCCCCATATTCTGGTTTCCTTCAGCTTTTTAAAAATTACAAGTGGCCCCACTCCTAAGGATTCTCATTCAGGAGGCTCAGGGGAGACCCAAGGATGAGTAGTTTTAAAAGCCCTACAGCCTTAGTAGTGATCACTGTACCTGGAGGTAGGGACCTTGATTTATATTGTGGTGCTGGGAGTTTGGGTAGTTCAAGGAGTGAGGGGCTTGTGAAGAAGCTTGGCATTTGAACTGAGTGGTGAAAATGAATAGAAGTTAGGGGCTTGCAGTAGGGTGGGCTTTTGGGCCGTGAGTGGGGAACATGCTGACCTATGCGCGCAGTAGGGGACTGGTAAGAGAGAAGGCCTCTTATCTGGGACAACAGCTGTCCCAGGGAATTGTGCCATAGTCTGAGCAGGGACTGCTCAGGGTGTGGTTCTGTGAAACCTGTATCACAGTCATCTCCATTGCAATGCAGATTCTTGGATCCCACCCTAAATCTAATCCTTCCACCTCTGGGGTGGAGCCCAGAAATCTGCATTTTTAACACGCCCCTTAGCTACCAGCAGGGTGGGCCGCATAGGTTAGTCCTGGTTTACTTGTTGGGCCAATGTTACTGTTAACCACATCATCCTTCAACGCTCAGTTTGGTCCTGGTTTGGATGAGAAAGGATCTGGTTGTCCCAGCTCTGAGCACCATGGAAGGCTTTCAGTCATGAGACTTTCTAGAACCATTGTTCCGCAGGAGTGTGGCACATGCGCAGAGGCAGAGAGTGTGGTCAATAGGCTATCAAAAGGCAGGGCCGGGGATTTAGCTCAGTGGTGCCACTGCCTGCCTTGCAAGTGCAAGGTCCTGAGCTCCATCCCCGGTCCTAAAGGGCTTCATCACTTGTGCATTCATTCTGCAAATAGGAGCGCCCACTCTGTTGCAGGTATTCCACTGAGCTTGAGGGCACAGGAGGGAGCAAACACAAATCTTTGCTCTTGGCGAGAGTGTGTTTCACAGCAGGAAGACAGGAAACAAGTGCAGGATGTTGTCTGGTAGGTGATGGTAAGTGCTAGGGAAAAACCAGGTGAAGTGAGAAGTGGATGGGAAGTGCTGGGCATCTGTGCTTTGGGCAGCAGTTTCAAGTTTGGGTAAGATGACCAGGAAAAGCCTGGAAAGGTGACATTTGAGGAATGCCCTGAAGGAGGTGAGGGATCCAGCTGTGCAGGTATCTGAGACAATAACATTCCAGGCAAGGCCTGGGCAAAGGCCCTGGGGTGCTAGTGTGAGGGAATTGTTCACAGATCACCAAGGAGATTAAGTGTCAGTAGTGAGGAGGGCACAAAGGAGAGGAGTAAGAGATGATGAAGTCAGAGAGGTCACAGAGGCCCTGTGAGGTGGAGAGCCTTGGAGGCCAAAGGGAGCCATTGAGGACTTTGGAGCAGAGGAGTAGCGTAATGTGATACAGATTTCAGTAGGCTCTCATAGTGCTGTGTGGGCAGGGGAGACCACTATAATAGGCCAGGTAAGAGAAGGATGGTTTAGCCTGGAAAGATGGAGTGGAGGAGAGAACACGTGGTGAGATTCTAGATCTAATTTGAGGAAGACCTGCAGGGTCAAGGCAGCAGGGTTTGCTGAAGACTGGTTGTGGGTGTGAGAGAAGAGTCAAGGAGGATTCCAAGGTATTTAGCTGTGGGAAAGAGTGTTGCTGAGATGGACCAGTCTCTAAGTGGAGTGGAGTTAGGGAATGGGCTCTTGGCTTTGGCACCTCAACTGTGAGCCGCCATTCTGTGTGCCCAAGCGGCTGTCAGAGAGGTGGTCAGGTGCGATGTCTGGCTGGAGACCTAGCTCTTAGGAGGGTCTTTGGTGAGTCTTTGGCATCTCCATGGGCTTTGGCTTATGAGGTGGGAGGAGGGCACAGAAGGCTGACGGGGCTCTGGCAAAGGGGCCCGGACTCAGAATGGGGCAGGAGGACGGGTGAGGCCTGGAAGCGTTTAGCTGTGAGGGCTGTGGGCCTGGGGGTTGGGAGAGACCAGGTTAGAGAGCAGAGCTGGGTGCCTCCGGCCTGCAAGTGGTTGTTGATGCCAGGAGTGCAGAGGGCACGTGCACAGGCAGAGAGGAGGGGGCCTGGGGCACGTGGCCTCCATCCCAGTTGTGCCGTCCCCTCCAGCTCCTGTACGCCCTTTGCTTGGCAGTGGGCCTGGCTCTGTAGGTCAGGGGACCCCCACTCCTCTTCCCAGTAATCTGCTTCCCTGCCGTCCTGTGAGAGGACGTGGCTGCTGACAGGAGCAGGACCCCAACCCAGGCCTCCTGTCTGCTTGCTCATGGTACCACTCTGAACAGCACTGGCCAGGACACCTCTGGTTGCAGGCAGTGACAAAATCCCAACTCAGTTGAGGGGAAGACACAGAGAAGTGTTGGTTCCCGGATCGGCCCCGGATCGGCCCCGGATCGGCCCCAGATCGGGAGAGATGGCCGTGGGGACTGCTGGGGCCGGCGTCACAACAGCATCGCATTGCCAGTGCTTGCTCTCTCTGGCTTTTCATCTGCGCGGGCCCTTGAGGGGGTGGGAGGATGGGCTGCGGTAACTCTGGGAGGTGCGCACAGCTCGGGACCAAGAGGAAACCTGGGAAACACCTCTGAGTGGGAGGAGGAAGGGGCCCGCCCATAGAATCCCACCACATGGGGGCGGGGTGCAGTACCCTAAAGAAGAGAGACAGACGTGTCCTTATCAGAAGGGAGGCAGGCTGGGCAGATGGTAGCAACAGCTCACTCTTGGTCAGCAGTTGGTTCCAGCAGTTTTTTTTCCTGTATTAACTATCATGGACCCTGCTGACAAAGAAAAAAGCACCATGACTAGAAAAGTAGGAGATAAGCTGGCAATAAAGGTCACACCTTGTGCTCGCTTAGGCAGCACATATGCTAAAGGTGTGAACCTTTAAAAAGGAAATCCCTCTCCTTTCCCTCCTCCCTCTTAGTTAGAAACTGGCTAGTGATTGTCATAGATTCTGGGCCTATCATAGGAATGTCTGCCCATTCAAGGAGGGTTTTTGCTTATGTTTTCAACCACACGGATGACCACTGGGCTGTCTTCATCAGAAACTACAATTTATTTTTTTCCATTTTTTCCTTCTATTTTTCTTTTCCTTGTCCCTTCTTTCCTTACCCCCTCCCCCTCCCTTGTCCCTCTTCTCATTTGAACATTTTATTCTCATTTCCCAATATCTGTTATACATTTTGGTCCTTATTTCCACTTTCAGTTTCTCACATCAGACAATGCACTATTTACACATGTGTGTCCAATTTATTTCACTTAAGGGTATGGTTTCGAGGTGCATCCATTTAGCTAGAAATGTCTCAAGTTTATCCTTCTTTACAGCAGAGTAGTACTCCATTGTATATAAAAAAGCCACATCTTCTTTATCCATTTGTCAGTTCATGGGCATTTGGGCTGTTTCCAAATTTAGCTATTACAAACTGTGCCACTATAAACATGGGTGCACATATATCACCATGGTATGATTCTTTTAATTCTTTGGGGAAGATCCTCAGCAGGGGAATAGCTGGGTTAAATGGGACCTCTAGTCCTAATTTGAGGTATCTCCATACTGATTTCCACAGTGGTTGCACCAGTCTACACTCCCACCAACCGTGGAGAAGTGTTCCTTTTTCCCCACAGCCCTGCTAGCATTTTTTCTTGATTTCTTGATGATAGCTGTTCTTTCTGGAGTGAGAGGGAATTTCAGCATTGTTTTAATTTGCATCTTTCAAATGACCAGTGTTGTTGAACTTTTTTTGTTTGTTTTTGGTAGTGGGGATCAAACTCAGGACCTTGTGCTTGCCAGGCAGGCACAGTGCCACTGAGCTACATCCCCAGCCCCATTTTTTCATATATTTATTTGCCATTTCTACTTCTCCATCTGAGAAGTGTCTGTTCATTTCAGATGCCCATTTTTGGAGTGGGTATTAAATTTGGGAGGTCTGACTTTTTGGAGTTCTTTATATAGAGACTACAATTAGATCACTAGTACAGAACCTCACTTTTCTTTATTTTACTATGTAGGTTATTTCATATATTTCCTGGAGATTCCAGGTGTTGCTTTCCTTCAAGCTTCAAGTATATGAGTGTGGTTGAACTAGTGATATGGTTTTAAAAGATCTGAAACATTTTTTACATTGAAAACTACCTGCACAGTAAATTTTCCTGAGTGTCTTTACCCACTTTGCTTGATTTCTTCAGTGTTTCTGCAAATTGTGGAGGAACCCAATTCCCTGGGGCCATTTTCATTTCTCTCTTGCCTAGTTTGCTTCTGTGGTCCTTTAGGAGAGGTGAGCGCAGCCCAACTACTCAGCAGTCAGGGACCTTGTACAAAGCTGAGGCTGAGTTTTCTCATCTGTCCAGTGGGTCGCTGAGGCTGGGCTAGACTCTTTGTGTGGGAATGCTTGGGAATTTCTGGGCACTGTGGAAGTGCAAGACGCCATTGCTGTGTGCTGTTGTCCTTTCATAGAAGGTGGGTCACAGCTTCAGCGGGCTGGCTTTAGCTCAGTGAGCCTGGCACTATTGTGCCTTGCCACCTCTGTGCCTCCATTTTTTCATGTCAAAAGCACGTTGGCCAGCCCCTGATCTGCCTTCTTGTCACACCATGGTTACTGGAAGAACCTTTTCTAAGTTGTCAAAGCCCTCGCAGAAATGGAGGTAGCATTATTACTATACACAGTAATGCCATTTTCCTACTCTGCTCTTCATGAAGTCATAGTCAGCTCTGCTCCATTTAGAGTCTTAGGTTCACTCAAAAGTACACTGTTTTCCACATCTCAAATGCAAGCGTGAAATTGAATGTTTGGGAAAAACATGCTGTAAGATAAATGTTTCACTTTAGAATTAATTTTCTATTAAGAATCTTCCATTTAATTGTGATTGAATAAAATTCCATTAAATATTAGAGAATGGCACACTTAACCAACACCTAGAATTTTTAAACTTTTTAAAAAATTGTTTTCATTTAAAATTAAACAGAAATCTAATCTTCCTAATTTTCAGTCAATATTTCCATTTTTATATTAAATGTAAAGGTAACCAAATAGTTTAATAAAAGTTCATTCATCTAAACAGTGTATATGTTCCTATTCAGTTCTTATTTTTCTCACCAGGAGTCTATATTTTAAAAAATTCATTAATCACACTGTTTCTTTTAGTCCTACAGGGTCACATGTTGAATGGTGCAAACAGCTTATAGCTGCTACAATTTCTAGTCAGATTTCAGGTTCAGTGACATCAGAGAATGTGTCCAGAGATTACAAGGTAAGTGACATCGAGTGTTTAATTCATTTTCAGTATATTAAGCAGCCAAGAAGCTTTGCAGTTTTAATTCAAGGGAGCCTCTGGCCCATTGATGTTTAACTGCCATTTGCTTGGGAAAGAAGACATTGTTTGATCTTAAATTTCGAAGAGAAATTTTACCGGTATCCAGTATATTTGGCCATAGTTTTGTAATTAAAAAGACAAAAAAACTGTCTTTAGATTACGATCATTCTTTTAAAATTCTGATTCCATTTTATTATATGAAATGCACAGCTCAGTCAGGTGTCACATGCCTATAATCCCAGCCACTGAGGCAGGAGGATCTCAAGTTTGAAGCCAGCCTGGACTATATAATGTGACTCTATCTCAAAAAAAAAAAAAAAAAAGAAGAAGAAGTATATATTTTCTTTTAAAATATTCTGTATTTCAGAAAAAAAAAAAAAAACATTCCTTTTTTTTTTTTTTTTTTGTCCAGGGATCGAACTCAGGACCTTGTGCTTGCAAGGCAGGCGTGATGCCACTAGGCTAAATCCCCGGCACTAAAAAAAAAACAACAACATTCTTGATGTACAATATCTCTCTAACTTCACAATTTGTTTTTGTGTTTAGGCATTACCTGTGAGTATTCAGCATTATCATGTGATACTAGAGTGTAGAAACACTTGTAGAATTGAAGAATATTATATAGACAGCCTCCTCTTCTAGTCATTACTAAAGTGAAAAAATCTCTTATTTATTTTAAAAATTGTATCCTTGCTTGTTTTAACATTAAGAGTGATAATGCTCCTTGTTGGCAGAGATTGGTGCTATTTCACTCACCACTGGTTTCCCAGCACAGTCCTACAATATCATAGGTGCTCAACAGTTGCTTATTAAGTCAGTTAATAAGCGCGCAAAAAGTCCCTTGCTCCATCTTGTTCAGGCTAAAGACTGACTCTGTTTTATTGTTCAAAGACTATTACAGGTACACTAAATGAAGCCATGTTTACATTTCAGTTATGGTGTTTGCTGGAATGGAGGTTCTAGTTTCTTGTAGGTATTTCTGTCTGCTAGGACCATAAGACGACTGGTTTTTCACAAGCATGTGTAGAATATTTTTGGTATCCTGGACTACCATCAGTTAACAGTCTCTCAGAATCATGGTCCTTGGCAGACATTAAATCTCACAAATAGCTCCAGAACTGCAGTGAAGGTCCTAATTAATTCTCAAGAGCTGCTCCTTGTGGAGGGGTTTTAGTCACAGTTTCTCCACAGCTCATAAAGGAGCAAGCACAGAAACCGACTCGAGAGGCCATGCCTTTGAGATTTAGCTGTGGAGCTAGCTGTCCCTTGCTTCTCTAGCCAGCAGATGCTGTTGCTTATGCCTGCCACAGGCGTGTAGCTGTGGATGAGTGGAAACTGGATCATCTGCCAACTAGAAGAGTATCCTCTGTTACCTGGTTCTCATGTTTGCCCTCAAAGGAACAGCTGGGGCTCCTTGTCTTCATACTCTTCCCGGGCAAACACACTCCCTTCCTGCTGGGAGAATTCACTGCATCATGAATGCCTGGGTGGCTGGCCACTTGTCCCATTTGTTGCTCTCACTTACCTGAGGAACTGCCCATCGAAGGGGAGGCTGAGGGACACGGAGGAGTAGAAGATAGCTCTGGGCCCTTGGGGTGATTTTCCTCATGGCCATCTGTGAGGGAACTGTAATGGTTGCAGTATGGTTGGATGGCTGTGAGTGTTGTGTGGCTTCTGTGGGAGATTGAATGCTGACTGCGTGGCTAGCTTTCTAACCTTTACATTAACAGAGCAGACCAAATCTGTACTTTAACATGAGGCAACCAAGTTTTATCAATTTTAGTCCATTTACAAATTTTGTGTAGCAGAATTAGCTCATGTCAGAATGGTTTAACAGATGGTATTCAGAAAAAATAAGGCTTTTCTATACTTTGGAAGTTAAAATTTAAATCTCTATATGTGATAATAGCTAAAGCCTTTGAATTATTATAGGAGGGGATGTTTTATAACTGTCTGTGTTATATTTTCTCTCTAGCCAAATCTGCAAAGTTGGCACTCAATTTATAATTTGGGAGCTGTTATGCTTTCTTCAAAGAGATTTCTTTAAATAATAAAAGCACGCCGAATATAGGGGCATAAGTCTGTAATCCCACCTACTCCAGAGGCTGAGGCGGGAGGATCACAAGTTTGAGGCCAGTCTGAGCAACTTAGTGAGACCCTGTCTTAAAATAAAATTTTAAAAAGGGTTAAGTATGTGTCTTAGTGGTAGGAGCGATTGCCTAACATGTGTGAGGCCTGGGGTTCAAAAATAGATAAATAGATAGCATAAAATATTTCTAAAACACAGGATAGTTGTACATGCTCCTTATAAATAAAGTAATTTTTAAAGCTGAGCTCCAAGACCCTTTCTGGCATGTGAGCTAGTGCATGAGTTTGGTCCTGAAGGTCCAGATATAGTCCCTTGAGGATCTAAGTTGCAGACATTAGTTGTTAATATTTGAAACTATCTATTATGTAAATATATCTTATTTGAAATATACATTTAGTTTGGGGGTTAAATTATAAGTTAAACTCAAGTCAAATGGAAACAGCTGTTTATATAGAACAGATTACTTGCATCTTGAAATTCTGGTTGTCTTGTGAGTTGTTGGCTGCTGAGAGTGGTTTTATATCATCATCATCATTCTCATCATTCTCTAGCACAAATGAGGCTCACTGGTTTTATAATACTTTTTGACATGTCATCCATTTAAGCCTTAAAATCACCCATGAAGTAGTTATTACTGTTATCATCATTTATCCGATGAGGAAATGGAGGCCTAATTGCTTAGGATTAGACAGTTAAACTTGGGACTTGAACCCAGATCACCCCGTTGAAAAGCTAGTGATTTTAAATGTTATGCCTCCTGTCTACTGTTTTTAAAAATTTGTCTTCCTGCACCAATGCTTCCTGGCCTGGCTCTGAAAATACAGTTTCTTTGCCCTTATCCTATCTTAGCCAATCATAATATCCGAGGAAAGAAAATAATTGTCTTATATATTTTTTGTGCAAAACCTGAAAACTTAGGCTTCCTAAGTTTATGTCTGTTTAAATTGGTGATGGGACCAAACATGTCTGGTTCATTACTACAGCCCTGAATAATAAGCATCTCATGTTAGGTATTGAGAACAGTTATTCCAGTTATTCTTTTTTTTTCTTTTTTTTGTACCGGGGATTGAACTTGGGACCTTGTGCTTGCCAGGCAGACGGTGGAACCACTGAGCTAAATCCCTGGCCCTAGTTATTTATTCTCTGTTTGTATCATAAGTTGTCACTCAAGGTCAGGTTACTCAAAATGTGGTAATAATATCACTGGTATTGTAGGAGATGAGTTTGGATGGTATATTCATGGACATATTTTAATAGGTTTTTTTTTTTTTGAGACAGGGTCTCGTTCTGTAATTCAGGCTGGCCTTGAACTCACTGTGTACCCCAGGAACTCACTGTGTAGCCCAGGCTGTCCTTAAACTTGTGGTAATCCTCCTACCTCAGCCTCCTGAGTGCTAGGATGACAGGTGTGTGCCACCATGCTTGGCAATAGTTATCTAATTATTTTATTGTGAATTAGAAAACTAGCACATCAAGCTTCTGATTTAATGGATGTTATTGCTTAGAGCAGACAAAGTATATAAAAGAAGTGAATTTTAAATCAGTATAAAGACAAATATTAATGTTAGTACAAGTGATATCCAGATATAGCAAGCCAAACTTGTAGTGGTAGTATTGTGAAATGACAGAAGTTTGGCAAACATTGTCCCATCTGAAGGAGTAGGGAATTGTTATGTTGAATCGTGGGTCAACTAAATTAATAAATGCATTCTTTAATACCAAGTCATCCTGACAAATTGCCAGATAATTAAGGCTACTAAGAGAAATGTAATAAACTGTTTTCCTTACCTCCCCAACTGCCATCTCAGTTGCTTTCATTTTTTTTTATTAGGCTAACAGTAAAAAAAAAAAAGAAAGAAAAAGTCTCCCTCAAACTTGTCAAAAAAAATTAAGAACAAGATGTGAAAGTAATCATCCACGGATTAGGTGAAAAAATACCATTACAGTGGATGCCTGAGTTATGACCAGCCTGACGTTACAAACAATTTAGGTTCCAACTGGAATTTTAGTTTTAACTTACGACCAAAGTCTTGAGTTATGACCTGAATGCTGGCCACTTGTGCTTCCAGAGGGTCTCAGATACAGATTTAACCCTTAAAAGAGTCCTGGAAGGAACATTACAACATCCTTTCCTGTGTGGGACACAGATCTGCCTGTGTACAGGAGAGAGACTTTGAAGGCTGTGTAGAGGAGCCCAAGCCTTCAGTTGACCAACTTGAGTTACAACCAGCCCTTGGGAACAAATTGAGTTCGTAAGTCAAGGGTTCACTGTACAAATTGTAATGAAACATTTCTAAGAACTATTAGTAGAAATGACACAGTCGATCACAGTTTCCATTGTTTGAAAAGTAGAATTAGGTCAGAAAGAGGGAGCCTGATGGAGTAGTACAAACAGTACTGGTTGGCTTTGTGACCTTGTATAATCTCTGTGGACAGTTTCCTTATCTGTAAGGATAAAAGCATTTGGGTTAGAGTATAAGCTTCTAAATGCTTTTGTTTCTAGAACATTCTTCAGTTATGTTCCGTCCATAGGATCCAGTTTTTGCCAGCCTTACGGAGATTAGGACACTGGTTTTAATGTAACCATCTTGCTTCTCTGGCTCTGTCATTATTGTCATCATCTTTCTGTTCCTCAGTATCCCTCCCATCCTCCCATTACCCATGCACACACATGCTAGATCTCTTCCCTAAACATTCTGAAGCAAAAGGACAAAATGGGGAAAGTGCTACACAAAGTTTAATCATTGAACAGGACAGTATAGTAATTAAATTCTGTATCCTCAACAAAAATTTCCAGAAGGGTTTTGGAGGGAAGGGGCGACAGTGTATGGGAAAGGCTTCAGTACGC